CTTGAGCTCTGGCTTTAGTATAGTTTCACCACCCATAATTGGCAATTGGATGATATTATTGACGGATTCGAGATGCGATGATGAACTGAGGAAAGAAAAAACAATTGTCAGTTGTAAAGAGTAGATAGTAGATAGTAATTAGTAGAAGCTCAGCCGCGGGAAGTGGTAACTCTTCTACTACGCCGCTTGTTACGTAGAAGTGGAGTTTCAACAGGGGTAAGCTTTAGGAAAGCGCGGGGGGAAATGTGGAGGTTGGAAGCCGCGAAACATTACGAGTAAATCCAATGGCACGTGGCACGTGAAAGGGGTTATATGGTAGATCAACAACTCACCTCGACATCATTCACGGACTTCCACAACTGACACAACCTTGATTCAAAGTAGGTTTTTGATATATCAAAGAGCAAGACAAGCTGAAGGGTATCAACCAAGATGTTAAAGTCATGAGCACATCTAATACGAAGTGATATTGTATTCCAAGCCTTTGTAAGGGTCATACAAAGATGCGGGGTTGAAGCTGCAGGTACATTGTTTACGTTATAAGAAGAGAATGATTCGTCGGCGGTAAATTCATTCGTCGAATAGAGATCTCTCATAATTAACACGGAAAAGGAAAAGATTGATATCGTCCAGAACAATCAAGGGTTTCAGTCTATATCGAGTCGGCATTACTAGACGATGACGACTATATGTATCACAATCCTTATCAAACATTGGCCAGTAGTATTCACGCAATACAATCACAATTCTCGTCACAATTCTCGTCCAAGAAAAGACAATTCGATTTGAATGAGAGTATTTATTATTACATGATATCCATATACACGGTTTCATACGTGTGCAACAGGAAGTTGGCCTCTATTTGACCTTCTTGAAAGCATAGCGTTAACCATACCATGCTACAGACAGTACTCCAGCCTAGCCTAGCTCCTCAAATCCGCAGTCTATTTGAAGCCCTGAAAGAGGACTTGTGCATTACTTTCTCCCAAATTTTATAACTTTATGTTCGTATCAAAGCCATTCGGATGTTCGTCCGTCTATTTCACAAAAGCAATTAGTATTGTGCATGCCAGAACCACTTACGGAGATTAGTAACTAACCTGGTGTCTGATCCATAATCCCAACAACCAGTATTTGCTTCTTCAATTCCCTTCTCCTCCTCTCCTTCTTATTGACCTTCAATTTTACCTTCTCTACCACTTCATGAAAATGCTCATTACCTTTCTGTATCACATCTGGAGCCCCTTTGATCCCCATGAATCCCGATTTTCTCGACATGGGCGTATCTGGACCTGTCGCACTTCTACTAGCATTGGAAATTATTTCATTGCCTTCTGGTGGCGACATCCTCGTGCTTCCGGATAGCCGTTTCAAAGCACCCGATAACTTTCCCCCCAATGACCCTGTTGGACCTGTCGTTCTTGGAGAATCCGGTAGCTTATTAGTTGAGAGAAATGGGAAAGGACTTTTCAGGGGGCGTTGACCACTTGAAAAATCTCTTTTTCGAGGCTTGTTCGATTCTGGTATTATTATATTCGGTGGTGCCATGGATGATGTATGTGAGACTGCCGAGGGTCTATGCAAACTCTGCTGCCCTTCGCTACCCGAAAATAGAGCAACCGGGGTTCGTGGCTCCCAATCATCTGGGCTTTCGCAGAAATAGTTTTGTCGGCTTCTCTTTGTGGGCAATGAGAGTGGTGGTGGCATTAGTGCAACACCGTCGTTATGAGCCTTATGTCTGAGTGGATATTCGCGCACGTTCTCATAATCGTATGGTATTCCTTGATCTATCAAGTCCTCGAGAGCACTAGTGTATGCCAGATCTTGACTAGTATTGAGATCTTCTAAATGACCTTGCATAAACCTTGATACTCGTTCTTTATATTCTGACGATATTACCAGTGATCTTGGTGACGACGTGGCCGGGCTCGATGCATTACTAGGCATGTATTTGGGGAAGTACGAGCTTTCCTCACCCCGCTGCATTGGAGAAACAGGAACAGAACCAACAGTTTGGCTCTGGTGAGCCATGTGTGAATTTGTGTTATCTTCTTGACTATAAATGCTACCAGAACTGTCAGAGTTATCCGTAGCTAACGATGACTGTCGACTTCTTCCTTCTCTTATTTCCATAGTCGGGTCGTAGCCCGTTCTCTGCATCACCTTCGTTGCCGACTTTGTCAAAGGTGGATCAGGGGGTGGAGGTAACGTCCTAGTATCGGGCGAAGAATGGATTCTCGCCACTCTCTGAGGACCTTCGCTTCCCTCAATATCAATGTCATCATCAAAATTCGTTGAGACAGAAATATCCATAGAAGGTTTTGGAACAGGATCTCCATACTCATTCAACCTCCCGTCGAGCCTTCTACTCCCTCTGCCCAACTTCTTCGCTAGAACACCAGGAATTGCTGGTAGTGGATCCCTATTGAAGCGCAACTTATCTCCCGTAGTTTGACTATGTCTCAACTGAGGCCGTTTCATAGTTTCCAAGCCACTCAAAGAAGCAGATGTATGACCCCACTGTGCCCATGGCCCTAATTTTGCGTGCGCGCTTGTCTCTAGTTGAGATTGAGATCTCGAATGCGAAAGAGAATGTCCATCTGTTAAAGGAGTCGGTGGCAATGTAGCCCGAAACTGCTCCTTAGATGGCGATTGGTACGCCATGAATAATGACACTGAAAACGAACGCAAACGGAGTGATCTTGATTCGAGAAAAATCGCATAGGCGTTTTCCGAAATATGTATTCTGGCCACTTGACTGATAGGAAATTTACACAGACAAAGAAGAAAAATGACCTACGCTTGATGAAGGATAGAAGAGGAAATATTCTAGAATGAAAGAAAGGCACTGGTTTGTCGGGGGTGATATTTTCTCCGAAAGAAAGCAAAGTTTTGGTTTATGATATGGAGATCTTGTTATGATTCTTTGAAGGCCGAGTCTTGAGAAACAAAGAATCACGTCAGCAATGCCACGCTGCCAAGAGCCAAATGAATCTCAAAAAAAGTATACCATCAATTTCACTTGGAGGATACCAACCACTCATTATTTTTGCATGATGTTGCTCGCGAATGTGGAAATAAGCAGACCAAGGTAAAACGAAAGATGTCGAATACGTCGATGCCAGGACAGAGCTATCGTATACGCGAGAACGAAGGGAGATATAGGAGCTCAGTCGAGAACTCATGCGAGTATTGATTTCTAGAAAATGATTTTGTACTCGATAAACCAGATAAGTCATTAATCATTGATAGTCGGCTTTCTATGTAATTTTTTAGATTCTATGTCTACTCTTCAAACCAAAAAAAAATATCATACTGCATAAATTCCCATCTCACGTGGTATATGCAGATTATATATATAATACATCTATTCATTAATCCGTCAATCAATCAGAAAAAATCCTTATGATCACATATTACAGGAATATTCTACTTATATAAAAATATAATACAACCTGGTCTTGCTTGATTCTGATATTATAGATTTTTTTATAGATATGATATAGCATATTTATCCCGATATCAGATGATATTCTTGAGATGGGTCAAACTCACCAACAGGACAAACTATTCAATAGTTATTGAGAAGAGTACATGAAGTGGAGATGCAATCATTCAGTAGTTATCCATCTCCCCAGCTTCCCAATTTCTAGATGGAAGGTTACAAAGTTAAACACCGTACAATGGCCTACCTCTCTTGCGGTAGCCGACATTGCGCTGTCGGTACTGAATGGCGTATTCCACGTTGCCCTTGATATTTCCCAACTGCAAGATGTTGATACAGATTTGAGGAGTTGTCTCGACTTCCTTGTAGCAGGGGACTGCAACCTCAATCGTGCCCGGGAGTTACAACAAACCACCCACACTGACATTTTTCCACAGCGCCTGACATCACCCTCTATTTTCTCCCAAGTTATCAGTATTCTCGAACCCCTGAATCACTCACGTATAGCCATCGCCATGCTCTCCATTGGTGGAACCATCACCACCACTGAGTTCACAGACGATATTACCACTATTAGAAATGACGTACAGCAAGATATCGATATGGGAAAAAGAATCATAGTATGTAGTCATTCCTGGGCGCAGTACCCATGACAAGTACCCTTGATGAGATGAGCATTACTGAGAGAACTTGAAAAGGAAAAGTTGGCGGGATGGTGGAAGTAGCTTTCTTATGTGTGTTTGGGGTTCCTAAAGGTACTAGTCTTCAGTGAATCACTAGTCAGAAAAGCCATGACAGTATTGTGAAATTGAATATTTTTATTTGAATTCTATAGAGGTGGATCATAAACACGAACCGTAATTTTCAGGATAGTTTCCTCTCAGCAACAAACGCTGGACAAAAGTACTACCATGGTCTTAATGATACAATGGCTAGGGATTAAAAATCAAAGCTAAAACTACAAAGTGTGACCAGCTCCCAAACAAAAGCTACTGCAGCTGCCGTTTGATGATCTCATCAGTCTATTTGATACGTGAAGTTAATCAGAAGATTCCAGTATCTTCGCAGGAAATTATGATAGTCGGGCTCAAACATCACGAAGAGTTATGAATGAAGAGCTAGTGTTCTGCGGATATAATTCCTCCTTCAATAGCCCGGGCTGTACAGCTGGGTTTTCAGACGAGCTGCAGGTGAGGAGTTTGATACCACTGAGACCTGAATTAGTTTGGTTCTCAAACTTGCTCAATAAGCAGGGAAACTTACGATACTGCGGTTCCAAAAAAAATACAAAAGCTTAAAAAATAAAAAGGCCCAACGATCGAATATCATATTTTCGCGTAGTCCGGCTTGTCCATATAGAAACATTCGATCTTATCCCTGAGATAGCATGTCCTTATCGTACTCTTACTACCAATGTAGCTTTTTCTGTGCAAGGAAACCTATTTGGGTCAACATAGATATGTTGTTCCATGTTCTACCGAGGTCTGGTGATCATGATGGTCGCAAGATACCCGATGGTATATCATCATTACGCAAGTCGCTCAAAAATCTTCATTTACTTCGTAACAGAGCCTTTGCCTTTAATGTCTATCTTGATACTTTTTTTGACCCCCTCAGCAAGGGAAATAAGATCATTTTCCGAAATTTGTACGTTTAGCTTTTCAGCAATGGAACGGAAATCATCTACCCAAGTTGGTAAGTTGATGTTTAGCGTTCCAAGTCCATAGTTCAAATAATGCATGCTGGGATAAAGATCGTTTATTGTAGTTTGTGATCCCTTGCCTTTACTGCTTTCCTTGAGACGCTTGTCGACCTTTTCAGCAATGGAACGGAGATCATCTATCAAATTTGATAAGTTTAGGTTTAGCTCTTCAACTCTAGACTTCAACTCTTGTACGATGGGATTAAGATTATCTGTTGTAATCTGTGATCCCGTATCAGAATCTGGGCTTCTAGTCTCTGAATCGAGCCCGTCTTCTGCAATTTCTGCTTCTTGAACAGAACTTGAGCTGCTAGCTTTGGCACCAGGAGGTTCTCTTGAAACATAGAAATTCCGTTTAGACCTTGATTTCTTGACCTTGGAATCCGGTTCACTTTTGGTAACTCGTGCTTCCTGTTTGGACCTTGAGCTTTTAATATTACCAGAACGGACACCAATCCATCTGATAGACGATTGATTCTGTTCAGGCTCGAGACCAAGTTGAACTCTCCGGGGAGACTTCGGGCCTTCAGCTTTGGAGCCGTGACCGCCTTCTGGAACAGCTGTATTTTTCCCTCTTTCTCTTATCTCGACCTCACTCTCCCACCAGCTTTGCAGAAGTTCCCGAATGAAAAATTCATTGTCTTCAGCTAGAAACTGCGCTCTGCGATCCCATTCCGACAAGTCCAAATGCTCAAGCTTGATTTGACCGGAACCTATCTTTTCCAGGTTGTTAGATATGGTGAGGATAGCAGAATCTGGTATGATGGATTCACGGTCCTTGAAAGTATCCTCTGGGTGCGCTTCCCATACAGCATTACGCCAATGCCCAAGCATAAACTGGCATGATTGAACAATATCCATTGTACCAGGAGAGACATGATCATCGTCTTCAATACCTCTCTTTTCATCTTGAATCTTGAGCCACACTATAGCCAGTGTATTTCCAAATGATGACGGAGAATGATCTTTTAAATACTGGTCACGCTTATCCCATTCACTCAAGTCCAGTTCCTCAAGTCCTATTTCGCTAGTACACACTCTCCTCAGGTTCTTAGATATGGTCACTATGGCAGAGTCTGGTAAGACGCATTGTAAACTGATGTCCTCGCAGCTACCATCTTTTGGTAATGCCTCAAATATACTCTGACGCCATAGTAAGAGAGCCTTATTACATGAAGCAATTGCGTAATCAAAAGTCACGTAGTCTTGTATCCAATCGACCACCAATTTCCTCACATCTAGTCGCTTCTTCGACGCATGTTCGATTGTGGAAAGTTTTGCCTTTTCGAAGAAACTGTTGTAATCATCGATAAATTCTTTCGCAACCCCAGGTACAAAATCATCATCTAGCTTGGGTTCGCGAAGTAGTGAGAATATCGTCAAAAGAACATCCCGCAAAGAATTATCCGGGCCCCATCCAGTTGTAATACTGGGTAAGCGGAGATCTTCATCTGCACTGATCTTCGGGTGATGGATCTGTGTCAAGAAGCGCACTTTGATAGGCCGTTGAGGGTATAAAACAGGGAAATAGATGTGCAGAAAGAAGATGCCTCCAGCGTACGGGCTGTCAGAGGGTCCTTCAATGCAGGCAATTGCATTTGTAAGATCAAAAAAGTCTCCAAATGCACCAACTCTACTACTGTAAAGAGAAGCAGGACAGACACTGATATAAGGAGTTGTATCATGAGCATGAACAGCTTCGTATTCCAAGCTTAAATTCCTGTTACGATGATATGAATCTTTTTCCCTATGAACCTTCAGCACACTGAGTGGCGTTTCCTCGAAATAATGTCGGATGGCTCGATGGGTAAGATTCTTATGTCTATTCCGAATCTCCGATAAGTTCTCACCACAGGGTGAAGGTGTTTCGATAACAGAATCGGTGGACGTAGACGAAGAAACAGACATAGGCTTAGAAGTAGACATAGGCATAAACATGGACTGCTGATTCAACCCGGATTCTTCCGTCGCGTCAACCCCAGGCTCGAAGAAACTGGGATCCTCTGCCATATTGACTTGAAATCAATATGGTGTCTAAGATTGTAGGCGACAATTGTTTTTGTACAACCAAGACTGCCAAGTTGAAGTTCTGTATGCTTTCAGTTTGCTTTCCAAAATTAAAGAAGAATTGACAGGTCAAAAGACCGAGTCAGGAGATATCAACTATTTCTTCCAAAAATCCAAGCTGTTATGAATTGTAAGGGATGAAGATTGTGGGATGAGTGAAGGAAAATGCAACGAGACGAGTAAATAAAGATCAATGCCATTTTGAATCGTTTTGGGGAGGTACTATGGATTTCAGACCCTAAAAAATAGAATAGGAAACTCTTGTCGTGAATGAATGGTAGATGATACTACCTAGCTAGGTAGGTAGGAGATTATAAGTAGTGTCCAGCAAGCGAGCAGGAGCTTTGGGAGCTCATTTTTCCACTATTCCAGATCGGTTCTAGCATATGTGCTACCTCTCAATCGACAACTACAAGATAGAAAAAACAACCAACCTATCGTCTCATTAGCTTTTGGACTTCCTCTTAAAACGAAATGTAGGTAATCAAAAAGAAAAAGGGGAGATGAAAAACATGTTGATACAACGTGGAATTACTCCTCCCACTCCCCCCTGTCCATGCCCACATTCGAGAATGTCAACATATGGACCAGCAAGACTCAGCGATATGTAGGACCAAAAAAATCTGGAACACAAGATATAATCGAACCATTAACACCAGTCGAGGAGAAGTATTCGCGGCTTATGACCTGGACATCCATCCGGCCAAGAGCGATGCAATTTATAAATCCAAGCGTGCTGATTCTTGGACGTTGTTGAATCGGAACACTCAGTGGTGTGATTTCATCAGCCCATATTCTGCACAACCAGACATGACCAGTTGCGAGAAAGATATTGTATAAAAGCAAAAGCAAATATTCCAAATTCTATTTCCTATCTGGAATTTTCCTTATTGCAATATCATAAGCGTTTATTTTGTTGTATTCATCACATCTACTCAAATCACGATCTCCTCATCATGCCATTCGACACAACCATCAAAAAAGTCGCTGTAGCTGGCGTTAGTCCCTCTTTCCATTCCCCTTCTCCACAACCCCTCTCAAATAACAAACTCCAGGCATCCGGCCCAGTAGGCCAAGCAATCGTCACTGAGCTTCTCAAATCCGAACTCTTCGACATCACAATTCTAACCCGTGATTCCACCACCTACCAATCACTATTCGCCCCCGCGCTGAAAGTAATTCAAGTCGATTACACCTCTCTCCCCTCTCTAACCCACGCCTTAACCAACCAAGACGCCCTCATCTCCACCCTCTCCCCAAGCGCCATCCCGGCCCAAAAACTCCTCATAGACGCCTGCATCCAAGCCCACGTGCACCGATTTCTCCCCTCAGAATACAGCTATGATTTCTGTTCCCCCAGCATCCACCAGCTCTCCTCCACCAACCAACTCTTCGCCCAGAAAATAGCCATCGAGGAATACCTCAAAGAGCAAGCCACCCAAACCTCTCTAAGCTATACCCTCCTCTTCAGCAACTCCATCCTCGAACTATCCCTCAAAAACAACCTCTTTTTCAATTTCCAAACCCGCACCGCGTCCCTTAACCCCCAATCAAAAACCATTCCCATATCCCTCACCACCCTTCCCAGTCTTTCCAAAGCCGTCCGGAGAATCCTCACGCACCCACGCGAAACGGCAAATCGACCGATCCGTATCAAAGATATTGATATCTCTCATGAAAAACTTGTGTCAATCGCCCAGTCACTCACACTCGGTCAAGAATGGAATATTCGCAGCGACGCAAGCTCAGACTCGGACTCGAGTTTTAATTTCGGAGGAAAGTTCGAGCGCGTGCATAATAGTGTTTTTGGAATCAAGGAGATGACGCCAGAAGAATTGGAGGAAGTAGTAAGAGTTACGTGTGGAGTAGAAAAGTCATGATGAGCATCTATTGTACTTTGTTGGTTGAAAAGATCATAGGCGTTGAAGATGGCGTCATGGAAGCTATCTGAATATAGGTACTGTTATTGTATTTGAAACAAATTTGTCTCTGCGTATAATCCCCTTCCTAGTGATTCATTGCAGTAGTGATCATCCGGCGACGAAAGAGATTCCTCCTAATACTCGTCTGAGAACACCCTCCCTCCCCCTACACATTCATATTAGTAACCTTAATGATTTCACCAATCCCAGCGGGAATTACAGTCATGATGAATTTCGTCTACGTAATCAATTAACGACGAAGATTGCACATGCTAAATATCAGGAGCACTTCCATCCAAAATCAAATACTGCATTTGAATCATTAATTTGAAAAAGTATACTACATGATCATTACGTCCGTTCAACTCATGTTAAACTCCCCTCCCCTCCCCAAGATTCAACCCAGTTCCACCTCATCCAATCTTCGTGAAAACATCATCCTCGCCCTGACTTGTCGTATGAAAAGCAGACTTGAAATAGAGAACCGAAAGGGTATATCGCAGACGGACAGCACTCCTGCAATGCAATGCGGCCTTGCCTATGACTAACAAAGAAAAGTTTAAAAAAAGACATTGTTGTGATAGCTTTTCCTGAAACATCTGGAACAGTAGTCTACTAAAAAGCATCTTCAAAAGGGCAATCGATACTGTCATGTCCGTCCCGTTCACACACACCGCACCATTTATCCATATTAATTACTCCGCTTTCCTTTCCTGGTGCAGCTCCTGGTTCCATGAGGTTGGGGATAGTTTTGATAGGCGATGCATCAGGCGATTTCTTGGCTGGCGCTAACGGTGCCGGTTTGTATTCTTCTTGGGATGGCTTGGGTGATAATTTGAGTCCCTCCATGACAACATCCTTTCCTGTTCGTTGCTGCTTAGGAGACTCATCCTTAGAATTGCTGCTGTTGCCATTGGGGCCAAACATCGGGCAATGTAAGACATCATGACCTGAGGTTTCACACAATTCACAGAAATCCTCAGCTGCAGAGGAGTAGCCGTCATTCTCAGGCATTGTCTCCAGATTGTTACGGTGAGCATCCGAAGTTCCACGTTCTCGCCAGCTTTCAACTGTGCTCTTGGTATCTTGGAGAGAATTTCTATCCTGAGTCACAGTTCCACTGCTCATGGCACTAGTGCGATGCGTAGTAGGATTGCCAACACTTCCCCTTCGTAGTCCCTCTAACTCGCGCTCCATCTGTTCTTCTTTATTGCCTTTGCTTTCCACCAGAGCACGGAGCTCACTCACTTCTCGTTCTAGCTTCTCCCGGGTACGGCGCTCCTCTTCAGAAACTGAAGCACTTTCTGTACGGCTTCGATTGAGTCCAGGTCGTAGAACGTTTGGTGTTGTGTCCTGATCCGAGATATTTCCATCAGGTATGGCATCTCTGCTGAGCGAATGAATGATCGCTTTCAAGCCACGAATCTCGTCATCTCTCTGCGCAATCTCTTTCGAATGCGTTCCCGCACTTGCGTTGGCAGGAGAATTTGCGTTACTGAGAGCTTCTGCAGTCTTCTCTCGCTCGCGACGGAGTTCAGATCGAGTTCTTTCAACCTCTCCACGCAAGAACTCAACTTCACCCCGAGCTTCGGCTTCACCACGTCGTGCATCTTCAAGACCTTCCTCGAGCTCCTGAACGAGCTCTTCTAGCTGTTTCAGTTGTATAGCAACGTGCTTGACATCATGACTATTCTCGTGCATTGTATCGAGCTCCATTACAAGAGTACGCATGCGTTCATCATATACTCGCTCGGTTTCCGCACCGGCCATTTCGAGCGTGTCTATCGTGCTTCTGAAATCAGCTCGATGCTGATCAAATTCTGCAGTCAGCATGGCGATTTTGTCGTTCTTTTCGCGTATGATAGCCCTCAACTGTGTTGCGTCTTTGTCATCCACACTTCCCCGACTATGTCTACCACTCGCGTCCTCATTATTGTTCTCCATTAACGATTGTGCTTCGCTGAGAGTTTTCTCCATGTCTTCAATAATAGAAGCCTGTTCTTTTATTTCCCTATCGCGATCTTCTAACAGACTTCTCAATCGCTCAAATTCGTCGTCAGTAGCCCGGGAGGTTGTACGCGATGCGGATCTTGATGCAGGTCGTAATTTCGCGTTAAAGGAAGAGACTGAGCCTACGCTCCCGTTTGTTGCCGTACGTGCAATCTCTACAGGAGGTGTCTCGTCATCGCTGTAATTCATCGAGTTCATTGGTGCAGGTCTATTCCCCGTTCCAAGTGCGGAAACACTTCGTGGAGGGACTGGTGTTTTCATGCCATTTCGAGGGGTATAACCAACTCTCTTACTTGGGTCTCTAGAATCTTGTGTTGCTCTGACGCTCTGACCAAAGTTTGCCTGTGCAGGGCTTGCATATCGAGATGGAACTCTTTGTGCAGGTGTATTTAATGACGGGTTAGCATTGGGTGCTCTTCGGACTGGTGACTCTGGTCTTGACGTGGTAGGTGTAGCCATGGATGGCCGTGTCTTTTGAACATATGGGTTTGTGGTTCTGCCTGGACCAACAGATTGACTGAACTTTGGTAACAAAGGCATTGGTTGACCATTTAACTCTGATCCCAATCTCCCAGCCCTATTGCCCATCGAAGGAGAAGCCGGTGAAAGGGGAAATGACTCATCGTGCGAAGAAGGGGTGCTGCGTCTTTTCGCCCTGGTAACTGGAAGAAAAATTCCAGCACCGTCGATTGTTGTGTCGAAGTAGTGAATTCTGCATCGAACATCAATCAGTTCATTGTCTGCAGACGTAAATGCTTGAATGGCTCACCCTTCAACATCTCCATTGTTTTTTCCTTTCGAAGCAAACATTTCACTTAATTCTACTCCTGCAAATACACCCTTTTTGCCCTGCACACTGCCAACAAATTTGACAATGCCATACATGTTACCTGGTACATCGACTATATCACCAACCTCTAGTTCCTCCGGCCCACCGCCAACTCGAGCAGGTGTGTATGGTGGCATGTTGCCTACTGTTGGCATATCCTCATCAAAAACTGTAGAGAGAGGGTATCTCTTGCTTGCATCTGGGATTGTCGCAAGTGAGTTTGAGGTAAGGGAAGCAAGTGAGACTTGTCGAGATGGTTGCGACCTAGGATTATTTAAGGCAAACCCTTGACCGTTATTGGAAGGATATGCAGGAACGGGTGTAGCTCCTGAAGCTTGTAGTAATGCCAAATTATAGGAGGCGTTGAGATTGGGTGTTGATTTGGTGCTCAAAATTCCAGTTTTGACGAAAGTCGATTTTTTGGGTGACCTTTTCGGTGTTGAGATTCTTGTGGTAGACATTTGTACCAATCCACCCAAAATACTCCCTATTATTGTTTTCTGTATGAGCCCCCTCACAATTCACCAATGTGAGCCAATCAACGTTCTTGATTGTCTGGTAAAAGCCCCTATACAATTAACTTTTACTTTTGTCTCTCAAAATAATAAAGCCGAATGTTATTCAATTCGAATTTGCACAATGAAAGTGTGGGATAATAATTATAAGATGGATGATTTGTCGTTCGTTTTCTTTGATTGATGTCCAGGTCGTTACTAAGAATTGCAAGGTAATGCTAGATAAAACAAGAGGAAGAAAGGATTATGAATGAACTTGTGGGGGGGGGGAGAAGAGGTGAGGAATATGGCAAATACGTAGAAGGTATCTCCTTCACCTATACCAGGTAGCTCGTAGGAGAAGACTAGGAAACGGTAGGAGAAAGAGGAAAGCAAGTGCAAATGCAAATGCAAATGCAAATACAAATGCAGTCTGCAGGAGAGATCAACGCCGGTACATATGTTTGTTTATAGACATGTTGATCCGACCCCTGTAATAGAAGGAAGTATCACGGTGAACTTGAGAGTGGAAGAAGACTGTTGAATGAGATGAGATATACTACCGGTAGGTAGCCAATGGCATCAGTGGGCATGAGTGTAATCAAATTGTGGTTCCTCATTCCTTGTTCTGTAAGATCATTGATCATTCTACATTCTACCGTTTCCTATGGAAGCATAGTCATAGTCCGGGCCCCCATCATGAAGCTTCTGCAGGTGTATATTACATACCTATCCGATCTAATCCACTATTCCTATTCTGCTGGAAAGGACAGGAAGCAGCTGTCCTCATCATATCATCATTAATTAGATGGTCCAGCGAAACGCCTCATCGTCCTTCTTTAAGCTTCAGTTGATTGTCTATATTGGGTGATTTTATATTAACCCCCATTCAAGTGATGTCCTGTAGTATCTTTCAGTGATCAATGCTTTTGCTAATATGTCACTCAAGAACTGATAAATCTGATCAAATCTACCAGTAATTCGAGGTATCTCTGCCTATCGGAATGTGTGGGGATCTTAATATAGATACGAGCATTGCATCTCTAGGTAACTGAATGTAAGAATCAACCTTCACAGGAAGTACACATCGTGCTGTTAGACACCTAGTAAAGAGTGAATAAAGCAGATACAAGCTTCAAAGGCTCAGTATTCTATTAACCACAACATCATTGATATAGGACTTCACAGTTCTGGAGACTCTTCCAATTCGTTGCTTGTCCAACATTGTTTTGATGTCAGGATGGCCCCCTGGTCCTTGCAATTGATGCAGGTACAGACAAGTACAGACAGGTACGGGTAAGCATCATGGTAGTCCGTCATCTGAGCTCTGAGCTGAGTATTTTGTATCATGTAAAGTACACTAAGAATTTAGGACATCACTCAGTTTGGAAAGAAATTAATCACGATTGAATAGAACTTTGATTATCTTGTAACTGAGAGCTAACAAATTCTCTGTCTAATTGATACCTTTTAACTTCAATGTCAAGATCTCCGATAGCTTCACCCCTTGCTAACCTTAACCTACCTAGGCGGGCAACTGTTGGAGCTCGAAATTTCAGCACCTAGAAAGATGAGTGTCATCATGTAATAGTCTTTTCGCTTCAAAGGTAGTGAATGCTGCAAAGACAATTGAAACTTTATATTTTCTGTAGCTATTATTCATGCCAGTGAGTTACTTACATAGAAACCACGAGAGAGAGGTGATATTATATATTATTGTTCTAGTGTAGAACGTACCTCAGAGAATGACTACTTGAGTATGTAGGTTGCAAAGCAAGCTTTTTGAGTTTGCCTGGAGTCGTTCGACTTTTCTCCTGACATAAAGATTTTTATTTCATTCCATAGACTCCCTAGGTCTTTGTTGATTCTCATAGATGTCGCCTCTTTCGAAGGGTCTTGTACCGTCATTTAGAACCATAGCCTCCCTATGGCGTCTTCTAAGATAATCTTCTGCCGTGGTCTGATCCCTTGGCCTTCTCTCAGCATAGTTGCTATCGATATCCTCCATGTCTTGATCCTCAGGCTCTTCCATCGCAAGGCGCCGTGCAGCTGAATCAGGACTTGCGGGTAGAAGTTTTGCTTCCTCTAACATTTTCCTGCCCCTTTCATCATGAAAAAGTGGCACAATCACTCGATTCAAGCTCTTCTCTTTATTGAGTGAGTCCATAAAATTGATTGAACGCTCCTCTGTGGTTACACCCCAAGGCTCTTTCACCAACCAACGTTCTATAAACCCAGCGTCTAGAAGTTCCTGAACACCGTATTTGTAAATCAATTCGTATATTATCATGAGGCAGCTCTTCTCCGCTGTGTCGCGAAGAGGCCAGTTATCCCAATCTGGGTCGTATTCATGGTGCACATAGTCCTCAACAGAATATTCCAAGCTTTTGACTAGTGCTTCATATGTTTCGGGCTTGTGTATTCGTTTGACAGTCGCTAGAACAAGATGAGCTTAATGACACGGGAAGTTGAGAGTAAGAATACATACAATTGTTCACAATCAAAATAAATGCTCGAACTGCTATCGCTCGTTTGCCGTAATCTGGTTGACTAATTTCATGAAGTAGGCTGTTAATGGCGTGTTCATTGTGCAGAGCACGTTCGCAGACAATGATCGACGCAGTTTCTTGAATTCCGTAGTTTGGATTCTTGATCAACTTCTCCAATGTACTGAGTTTCAAAGAATCCTCGGTCTTCTGATCGATGAAATGCGATTTGTTCTCGGGAGGAGGAATTGTGGCAGCTTCACGAAAATGAACAAGGCGATACCGCACAAAGGCCAAAACAGCACAAGTTGTAACTCCCAGCCCTAAGAATAACAATCGCTCTTGTCCTACTGGCGATAGCATCGCCATGTTCAATGAAACTACATTCAATGACGAAAGTGGTTGTGAAGGGAATTGTGGTTTGATTTGTTCAGAATTGTAAGCCACAAGGCTGACGAACGAAGGGTAATTCTGGTGGGGCAGTCGCGCGTACCGGTCCTGTGGTATCGGATCATCCATCCTCTGCGGGGTTTGAACTTTAGGGTTGAGCGTTCAGAAGCTCTAAGTTTACGTATTACTACGGGGAAAAACTAGGCATGTCTCTTATGAGATCAGAGAAGCATTCATCATATCTGATCTGATAGTCCTTCTTCCATATTCAATTCTTTCTTATATTTCAACAAGTCCTCGTGACCTATATAGGTACACAAACCCATCATTCATCAACCCAAGGCTATAGAGTTTGACAGCCAAATGCACAAACGCTTTCTTTCTTAGGGGGATTAGAATTCAGTCGATGATGAAGGGACTGTTGAAGATGTTTTCTAGCTGGCTTGCACTCGCGATCTGTTAAGCGATCGAAGGTTGGGATCAATATAAACATACGCATTCGCCATTTGCGACAAAGAATTGTAATCATGAAGGGGATCTTAAAGCGGGGCCCAGAGTCAACCAGAAAGATCAACACTCGGTTTATTGGTGAGCTGATATACAAACTAGCTTTCCCACCGATAGTTCACTGATGAATCGAAAGATGGTGACGCATCATATCCGATTTCGTCTCGAGATGATTGTAAGGGGTCATGAAATGAGAAGCGGGGAAATACGGGAGGGTTGTTCGCGTTAGAGGGATTTACACACTCAAGATTGTACATTGTCTAATCAACAAATGACTTACTCTTGTTGCAGAACCAGGGTGTCATATTCCAAGAATCCAATGATGCGGATTACAGTGAATATTTCTAAATCTTTAGATATTCAAAGTGTGGTTCTTTGAGAGCACTGCAATTGTCGAGACGGGTTCAAGGTTTCAAATGACATATAGCCCAAGGTCTTTTATCGCCAGTATTTTGAGACTTCCAAGATGCTATGCACATGTTTAGTATATGGAACAAGTGGCTATTAGAATTATACCTAGTAATCCCATGTCTATTGTTATTCTGATAGAGCTCACGAGCTTTCCGGCATCTCCGCTACTCCATGGTGACCCGCACTCATCTCATACGTTCTACGATCTTCCAACTCCTCTCGTCTGACCACGTCTTCAGTCCCATTCTTCTTCGTCATTCCTCCGTAAGTATCTCCTTCATGAAATGCGAACGACTCCTGATTCGTCAAACTTTCATTATTTCTCATCGTTTCTCGTTTCGGCATGTTCTTCCTCTTGGCTTTCATTATAAAGAACACCCCCGCCGCTATCATAATTGATATTGCTACTGCGACACCCACGACTACCCCCGCAAATGCTCCACGGCTTAATCTTTTACCGCTATCCGTGTTGGTATCGGAAGCTGTGTTCTCTGGCGCGGTTTCAATTGTGGTTGCTGCGGCCGTGGTACTAACACTTGGAGTATTTGTCGTCACTGATCCCAGTCCCAGGTCTTCTAAGACCTTCTCGTCACACTGTAAGATATGAGGGTCAGTATTGCGTATCGAGACATGTTCTGGGGGAAACGAGGGAAACGAGAAAAACGAGGTGCCAGTAATGTGTATGGAAGCAAAAGGCGCATGTATAATGGAAGATGGAGATGAAGTTTGAGGTCAGGGAACAGAAGTATGCATTTATGGCTAAGTAATTGGTGGATCGGGTAGACTCACCTCTCCTCCAGACTTTGCGCCGCAAGAGATCGTTCGTTTTGGAGCAGTTGTCGAGTTCACGTTGTCATTTGCGGTTGTCACATCATCAGGTAAAGAACCGGTCATGTTTGTAAGAGTAAATCGGTCCGAGTAGGCTGTGATCCAAATAGATTCATTTGATGTCAGATAGGAGCGGTACCCGAAAAAGCTATTCTGTATTGGTAGGTGTTCTAAAGGAGGGTAACAGGTATCTTACTATTTGTCTTCCAGGTTTGGACCTGAGCTGTTTCTGATATTGACTGGAGGGGACTGAGTCGTTGGATCGCTCATTTGATATCCAGATATTTTGAATATATAAAGCTCAAACTGTAAATATATGTATTCAGCATCGCTTTGTCAATCCGCTTCATCGCTCAGTTTTTAGACTTTCTCTTTCCCTTCCTTGCGATAAACACCGTATGAACGTATCCAAGCAAAAACAAACTTACTGGGGCAGTATCATTTCCAGTGAAAAGAACAACTTCCCAACTCGAATCATCAAATTGACCCAGCGTGGGCACTATCCCGCTATCACCCGCACGAATTTTATATGGTCCTGGGTCAACAACTTCTCCCATGGCAGGAGACTTGAAAATTATCTCGGCTCGACATACTGCTATTATAATTAACAGTAGCGTAAACCCTCGAAATGATATCATGATCGTGTCTTCGGCGAACAATTGATAAAAAACATACGGGAAAGAAGCACAGTGAAATAAAGAGAAAACGAAGACGAAGAGGGAATTGCGAATAGCAAATAGCACGCGAAACAGCCAACAAGCACGGTTATATAAATAACAAACACCATATAATCATGTGTAGCACTAATATGTAAGAAATCGTAATTGTAATTCTTGGGAGCCTAGGATAAATGGGGATCTCATCCAATTCTAGTCCTTTAATCGGCTTTGTGATTAAAGCGCTATCAAGGGAAGCGATCCTGGAGACACTTGGCCCCCAGATGAGAGTATGAGATTCGTAGACGCGCAGCAGCACCGAAGAGGATGGGGTACACGGCATCGAAAGGATTGACTCAACTTGGTATGGATATGCAAATCTCAATGTAATTCCTTAAATTGAATTGCAGTACGAAAACACAAATGAAACCAAGAGATACGACAAGGCTAGAGCTGGACTATATGTATATTTTTTCAAAAGAGAAAGAATAATATCCACGACATTGAATAGATCACTGAAGTTTATTTGGTGATTGATATATTGACTGGTGGAAAATTGATCTAATTGACTCACCACTCCAACATGATCAAGTGGAGAGAGGTCCTGATGAACCTAGGTACGGCGCTCCAACAACAGATCCGTTGCCAAGGTTCTTGGACCAGAATATCGGCAAGTCAATCTGTGGCGGAGATATAAGTATTCTACTGCCTCGACTACCTAGTACGTAGCTGAGTTTAGAAAGGTAATCATGACTTCTGATATCAGAGAAGGATGGAATTAACTGTTGGAATACGGTTGGAAGAAGAACATTAACGTTAAATCTGACTACTAGGTAGGTAAATTAATTTCAAGGCTAGTGTCGGATATCATGTGCGGGGTTTCTGTTGGACTTGCCTCGCATATCACGTGCATGTTAATATGAAGCTCCAATGCGGTGTAAGATCTAGAGTGGCCATATTCAACACTTTGTTTTCTGATTCTCAATTGTCAACACTTGTTCAATCCAATTGAAAAGTTGAGCCATCAAATCATCGAACAATCAGACATCTCCTTTTCATCTGAAGCAGAATCAAGTTGAACAATCAAATCATGACTATCCGGGTCAATTCCTCCACCTTCACCCCCGAGGTGTTGATTTCTGCACCTCGGAGATCAGCAGCAACACCAAATGCAGATGGTAAACTGGCATTGTATACTGTCTCGACGTATTCTTTTCAATCTCACTCAAAGACTGCCAAAATCAATGTGTTGAATATAGGTACTGGGGTAAGTTCGACCCTGAGCGATAATGCGAATGATAGTGAGCCAGTGTGGCTGGGGTGGAAGAACGAGGTGATATGGTTGAGAGCTGGAGAGAAGGGAGTGACACATTTAGTATTGGCCGATGCAGATGATTTACAAAGGAAGTAAATATGACTCAATATAGGTATCATTCATCAACGAACATTGATTGACAGCTTGTAGGCCCAAAATCATCACGACTTTCGACGGTGGCATCTCAAACGTGAAACTTACAGCTCTTACTTCGGATGTTGTAGCTATAGCTGTTTCTGGTATGTACTATAGTTACTTGTTCTTTTTTCTTCTTCGAAATTTTCGAATGAGTTCGAAGTTCAAACTCCACGTGAATAATATTTCAGCACTCTCCGATTATGTTGGTCGTATCATCAGATAACGTCCACCCTTCAATATACTCTCGCTTCTAGTATAACTAATTTTCGCATCTCTCAGGCTTGGCAACTCCATCCGGCAATTTATATAATTCTGAAACAGCTAAAAAGCCTCTGTCAACAGCTAAAACATACTCAAAGCTGTTTGTGAGAGAATGGGATGCATGGGTTACGGAAAACAAGAATGCCATCTGGTATGCAACGATTACAAAAAGCAAGGAATTTGGAGATGTTAAAGTCTCTGGATTGGTGAATGCTTTGACGGGTCATAAAATATCTCTTGAGTCTCCAGTACCACCATTTGGAGGAACAGGAGATTTCGATATAAGTAAAAACGGCATAGTCTTCGTTGCCAAGGATCCCAAGATTGACCCAGCCAACTATACGAAGACCGATCTATACTACATTCCTCTGAAGACATTCACAGAGTCAGAGGCTCCAACGCCCCTGTTGGTCGAGACTGGTAACCTGAAAGGCTATAGTCAAGGGCCTGTGTGGTCGCCAGACGCTAAGTCTGTGATTTTCACAAGAATGAAGAGTATAAAACATGTTTTCATCTCTTTAAGCGAGCGATGTTCTAACATAAACCAGGTATTCAGTACGAAAGTGACAAGACGAGACTTTTGTTGGTACCTGACATTACTGACCTCACCAATGTCCAAGAATTCTTCGAAACAGAGGACGGCAAGGGTGGATGGGACTTGAAACCCGAAGATGTCACATTCAGTAACGACGGAACCCAGATCTACGTAACAGCAGAAGAAAATGGCCGAGTAAAGCTTTTCAAGCTGCCAGCTTCTCCACGCCATGCTACTAAGTTACCCGAAGCTCTGACTAACAGCGGAACTATTACGGAGAAGCATGTTCTCCCAAGTGGTGAAATATTTATCAGTGGGAGTTCTTTAATTGACAACAGCGTCTATTCGATTATAGACCCATCCAAACCCTCAGAAAAAATCACAGTTTCATCCAGCTCAGATGATGGAAAAGCCTTCGGACTTTCACAAAAGCAGGTTGATGAGTTCTGGTATACAGGAGCTGGAGATTACAAAGTTCACGCTTGGGTATTCCGACCATCGAACTTCGATGAAAACAAGAAATATCCTCTTGCGTATCTCATTCATGGCGGAGTAAGTGACCTGGTGTCTGACAATAGCCTCTGCAATATGCTAATCATAGACTTAGCCGCAAGGTGCTTGGAACGAAGGATGGAGCACACGATGGAACCCCGCGGTCTTTGCCGAACAAGGTTATGTTGTAGTGACCCCGAACCCAACAGGAAGCACTGGCTATGGCATGGCGTTGCAAGATGGCATCAAAGGTCAATGGGGTGGACGGCCATATATAGACCTTGTCAAGGGATTCGAGTATATCGAAGAGAACCTGTAAGCTTTCAGAATATGCCTGATCTCCCATACCCGTCAGTCAATATTAACACAAGCTAGATCCTACGTCGATACCGACCGTGCTGTAGCTTGTGGCGCCAGTTACGGTGGATACATGGTAAACTGGATCCAGGGTCACGATTTAGGCCGAAAATTTAAAGCTCTCGTAACCCACGACGGTGTCTTCTCAACTCTGAACCAATACACATCCGACGAACTATTCTTCCCCCATCACGATTTCGAAGGTACAATCTGGGACAACCCTGAAGGATACGCAAAATGGAATCCTGCCAGCCACGTCGCTAATTGGGCAACTCCTCATCTAATCATCCATAACGATTTGGACTATCGATTACCCATTTCAGAGGGACTTGCTCCGTTTAACGTGTTGCAAACACGTGGAGTAGAAAGTAGATTCTTGACGTTCCCAGATGAAAACCATGTAAGTTTTTTCCTCCCCTGAAATGCTCGGTTGCTGTAGTATAATGCTAATGTTGTGTGATCTTAGTGGGTCTTGAAACCCGAAAATTCAAGAGTCTGGCATAAAGAGGTTTTCGACTGGATCAACAAATACAGTGGTATTACCAAGGAGAATGAAGAGTTGCGAAAGAGCATTGAGAAATTGAGTGTAAATTAGCTCTTAGGTTGCGTGGGGCAATGAATGGATGAGACAATGAAGGCAAATTTGATTCTCGAAAGGGATGGAAGGATGGTTGGCATATGGACATAATGAATAACAAGGTTTGACAACGAGGGACAAAGCATGAATTTACGAAGAGCAAGCAATATGGAAAAATGGATCTTGTTCTTTTGACCTTCGAGCTGGTATCTATATCATTTATGCATGATTTTCTTTCAGGTCCACAGATCCAACATGTACACCACTAACCAATCCACACATTACGTGGTGACACTACCACTTATGGCACCGCACCGCCCTTACTTCACATCCTTTTAGAGACATCTCTATTTCTTTCCCTTTTTCCTCCATTCCTTCTCCCGCTCATAAGCCTTCGACTCCTTTCCTTCCTCGCCCTGAATCTCGGCAATGAGTCTCTTCATCTTCTTCTCATGCGCCGCATCCTTCTCCTTCTTCTGCCTCAAGCTTTCTCTGGCAATGAAGTTGCTATCCTTGCGCAATTCACGCATAGCACCCTTCCTCTCCTTCTTGTGCTCAGCCTTCAACTTAGCAGTTTCAGCGCGTTCACGATCTGGATCATAGTGCTTATCTGGATTGTAGGAGTCTTCAAACTTGGGTATGGAGGTTTTGATGGCGAGGGGCTTGTGGTGGTGGAGTTCAAGCGGACGACGGGCAAGGTGCGCTAGTTGTAACATGGTTTGGAATTTGGAGATAGATTTGCGGATGAGGGTCTGAAGGGCTGGTTAGTATTTAGACGTATGGATGTTTGCTGTGTGACTTACTTGAGTAGTTTCTGGAAGTTTTGACCTGCAAGATTTACTTCCCAAATGTTTAAGGATCGTCAAAGCTGGTTCAAAGACTTCGGTGAAGGCTGATTTTTCCGTCCATAAATCGGCACTTGCGTTCAAGATTTTGATGTTAGCCTGTAACAAAGCGACTTTCAAAGACTCTTCGTCGTCGGCCGAAAGCTCCCGTGGGATACAGTCGTAGAAGTCAATCTGTCTGTCTGATGCTGAGGCTTTTTCTATCCTCACAGAATTCTTTGGCTCATGATATGGGAAGCTCCCTGGGATCTTAGCCAGCTTAGTAGGCGCCAAAGCACATAAAGTATTCTCGATGAAGCCGACTACCTCTGGAACGTATCTCTTCGATAATCGTTGATATTGCAAGCACAAAGTGGAAAGATATGCTCCCGCAGCATAATTGGATAGATCCTGAGGAATCTTTTGACCAAGATAGCGTCCCATGGTCAAGATTGCAGGGGTAACAACTTGATGGAAATGATCCGAGGTTGGAAATACTGTTCCAATAGCCGTGAGAAGTACGAGATCCCCAGCCTTCAAAGCCAAAGCTCGTGATTGATTGATCTCGTCGAGATGTCTTCTAAAAGCGTTGGCAATTTCGAGAGGAAAGGTTTTGGCGAGGGAGTGGATGTGGCGGATAATGTTTTCTAGTACGGAGAAAGGGGGACGCTGAGCTTGGTTTGCGAGGTACGAGATATGAGAGACGAGAGAGACGGAGAAGCTTCCTAGCTTTACTTTGTTTTCCGAGTTGAGTTTAGGATGATACAGAGCTCTGATACGCTGAACAACCGTTGGCAAATCTAATAGAGCGATGCCCTTGGTAATCTCGAGAAGTTCTTCGTGCGATTGTGGACATGGGAAGGTATAAGCAAGGTCACCATTGACACCATTTTTGGCAGGCAGCTCCACCTCGGGGAGAGGGGCGTTTGCACCTGTCAAGAATTCCGGTCTCTTGGCCTCCTCTTCGGTAAGCAGACCTTCGAGAAACTCATCGTCTTCGTTATTGGATTCTTCATCCTCTCCATCAGATTCGCCTTCCGATTCGTCGATGTCTGAGCCACTCGCTACGAGATCATCATCTATAACGAAGTCGTCCTCATCATCGGCACCTAGTTCCGCAGCACTAGGTCGTGTTTTGATACCATCTCCCAGTCCATAATCTTCTTCTTCTTCCTCTTCCTCCTCATCATCTGCCCCTCGTGCGCGATTGTCTTCTTCGTCGTCACTTTCTTCTGCCACACCTTCCATACGACGCAATCTCTTCTCCTCTAATTCTCGCAATCTTCTTGATTCCTTCTCCATCTTTTCGTCCTCTGTTTTCGATCTTTCGGTAGGTTGGGATCGTTTGTCTTGCGCCATCTGCCTCATTCGAATATCATATTCCTTTTCCAGCTTCGCTCGATCGCCGCCGTTCATCAATGCTATACGCTCCGGGTTCATGCCAGGGATGTCTTCCGGTGCTGCAGCTGGTGCTGGTGGCGGTTTCTGAGCCATGCCGCGAAGAAGTTCATGGATATTCGACATGTCCTTGTCCAATTCTTCTCGCAAATCCTCATCATCGTCCTTGGCCGCTTGTCGCTCATATTTGTGCATTTTAGATTTAGCAATAAGTTCTTTCATAACCTCTTGCTTCGATTTTTTTCGTTCTGGCAAAGCCGTTCCCTCTTCATCCTCATCTGACCCTTCGGAATTTGAGCCTCGGCGGCGCTTTCGTGCTTGTCGCTCCTCGTCGGACTCGTGGTCGTCAGCGTCAGACAACTCCAATCCCTCCTCGTCGAAATCATCACGGATTGCAGGACCATCCAAAGAAAGAGATTGTCCCATATGCGTAAGCTCGCCAGAGAATTCGTCGTCTTCAAGATCAAATGCCGAGCTATTCTTGTGGCCCCTCTGCTTCTCCTGCGTAAAACGTTCGAGCATTTTATCCTCGGGAGCCATTGAAGGGTCATTTTCTCCGAAACGCTTATCTATTATACCTCCTACTCGGTTTCTACTTTGCATTTCAACAAGTAAGGTTTTACGGCGCTGATAGCACATTAGCAGATGTCAGACACCCGTTCATACGAACTTACATTTTCTTCCGCAAGACCCCTCGCAACACCCGGTTTCTTGATACCCTTTGAAATTCTCCCACCAAGTGTTTTATTACTTGTGACTTCGAATTTGGGTGCTTTAGCCTGCTTGATTTCGAACGGGTTGAATTGATCTCGAATTCCATTGAGCGCGACACTTCTCTTGATTTTCTTCTCCTTATTTGCGCCATTCTGTGCATTTTGTTTCTTTTGCTTTTTCGATTGCTGAGGACCAACGATTCCTTGCTCTCGGAGAGAGGCTTTCAGCCTCTTGAGCTGGGATGGCGGCATCTTGATGGGGTTGCAGTGAAAGTCAAGAGCTCGTGGTATCTATTATTTCACCACTCGAACTTTTTTTCGACATGACTTTTTTATCGCTTATCGTCAACTGCCTGTGGCTAGTGTTTCGAGATCGTTGTGGCTCAAACGGCTAAACTGTTAATCCGACTCGGCTCTTATTCATTAACCAGTTGATGAATTCATCGACACTGACATAACCATACTATTGAATAACAAATGAAAAACCATACAGGCGTGTTACAACTTTGTGTGTGACATTTCTGGATCCAATAGCTGCTATTTTTACTTTGTTTCTGACAACTGTCTAATATTCATCGGAATATCCAAACTTCAACCTGGAATTTTTTTCTATGACTTCTCTATACCAAATAGCTATGAAAGCGAATAGACGATAGACCTAACAAACCGCGAAACTATTAGGATGATCTAAAGCATTCGATTGCTGAAATTCTCAAAAAGTATTGAACGCCGCCTGATGGTCAAACTCGAAGTAAAAGCATTAAGTAAGGGCCAATAAAGATGGACATGTACTATCTATAGCATTTGCTGCGCAGAATATTACTATGAGATGCATTAGCTTTCGAAATCGAGAACTTCGCCGAATCATGATCAGAAGCAAGTGATATACAAGGTGACTTTAGCACTAGGACATTGTGATGAGAGTACCTAGGTAGGCAGAAGTTCTTTGATCATGCATGAGAAATCCCCAGGCGTCTAATGTGAACCAGCGACCCACCCGCGTTGTATCCACTACTGCGTCTCGAGTTGACATACGCCATTGGGTTATCAAGAAACGTCTTGAAAAGGATTCTCATGTTTCGGTAGTTATTCAACACATAAAGATCCAAGAGTGAAGTTGCCCTATTTGTTCTGATTTGAGATTCATTGCCAAGTGAATGGTATATGCCTAGATGGGCATACTAATAATCTAATATACAAGAAAGTGATGGTGACATAATATATATAAACAAAAAATCCTTCATAAATCATAGTCTGTCTATATCCCATAATCCATGCCCCGAAGTGTATGCATACACAATGCTGGGTATCTAAACATTGGGTATAGAGAAGAAAAGGGAGAGGCACCGCCATCCCAGCTGTCGTTAAACAGAACGAATCGAATAGAAATGCTAAAAGAGCGTAGAGAAAATAAAACCATCCCCTGCCGTGAGACCAAGCCATCTAGTTCCATCCCATCTATCTTAATTTTGTAAGAAAATCGTTATAATGTGCTGTAAAAACGTGGTTGTAGGAAATGTAAAAGGTCCGTGCTTTCAGTCGGGAGCCACTTGAGGCATTGATGGCTTTGAAAGCTGGAGCACGTTGAAATCGAAGATATCACCACTCATCAACACCTGCAACTAGAACCCTAGAAACCTCCTACCCAAACATTGAAGTTTGTAAGACCGCCAATAACTGAACTCTCCGCCGTGATCTCAGTTCCACTCTCAGATTTGACCGTCTGCGAATTTCGGACAATAGAGAAGGTCACATTACCAGTCTGCCCCGAAAATCCATGGCTCCAGCTGTTCAAGCCAGCTTTTCCAGAGTAACTTGTCACTGGTGATTCGCCAATTTGCACGTGCACATCGGCAGCTGATTGCAATAATGCCGTGAAGAATACTTTGTCCTCACAGAGAGTATTGGGACTGTATTCTATCTGTCCTTGATTTGGATTATTACCAAGCACACCTCCTGTTAAACCAGCAGCAGCGGGAGATGTGCGGTACCAGTATTGCATAGAGTCGGTAGTGGCATTAGATCTGATGCCTTTATACTGAGATATGTAGTATGGCAAGAGGGTGAGAAGGTTAGAATGTGG